TTATGTATATTATTTATAAGAAAAAATATTCAAACAATAGAAATATATGATATTATCATTGTCTGAATTGTTTTTAATATTCATTCATTCTCATATTTGTATCAGATATGAACAACTTACTTTTAAATGTTTCTCACGTCATTCATTCATTCATTCTTTATCTTATACGTACACGTTTTTTTTTGTATGCTTCTTTTTACTAATATAACGATATATTACCATCAAACAGAAAACTATTCAAGTGAAACGAACCAAAAAATAAATCACAAAACAAAAAAAAAAATAAACGTATAACGCACGGTGAATATCTGATCATGGTATCACAAACACTAACAACCAAACAGATATTATCATTATTAGAAGGAAATCGAAATCTATGTGAAATATCATCAGAATATCCTTCATTAAAACAACCGTTACCTCCACGTCATCTATGTACGTGTACAAAATCATCCATAGTACCTCAAAAAACTATTATTCAAAAATTATCCGATCAAACAACAACTGAACATCATGGAAGAAATTCAAATTCATCTTCAAGAGTATCTCATGAACAAATTGAAAGCATTGAATCATTTCAAGATGATGAAATAAATAAATTATATAAAAAATCTCGGTATCAATTAACAAAAAGAAATGATGAAAGTATTATAGACAATACAAATTAATATTTTTTTATTTAATATATTATTTTTTTTTTAAATAGAAAAAAAGAAAAGAATTTTTTTTTATTTTTTAACAGTATTTTGTTTTATTTCTCGAATACCTAATGTTGCATTTGGTATTAAATTACATTGTTCAAGTGTTTGGTTTTCATCTGTAAAAAATAATTTTGTACCCATAGCAAATAGATCAAAATCAAATGAAAGTTTTCTATTTTAACAAAAGAATATTTCATTTTTATAATAAAAAATAATAATTAATTAATTACTTTTTCTTAGTAAGAATTTGTTTCACATCTTTTATTGTCGATGTTATTTTCATTTTTATAACATAAGTTTGTTGACCATCATGAGAACGTATACGTAGTGTACTGAATGGAATATTATTATCCGCATCAGGTTTATATTCACTTATCGCACTTAAATAAAGAGGTTGTGAAATTCAAAAAAAAATGTAAGAAATAGAATACCTTTCACATCTTGCTGTTGATTCTTGTTGTTTACCCTTTATAAATAAAGTGAAATTAGAATAAATGATCGAATGAAGGTCAATTGTACAAGTTTTAGGTATTATATGTAGACAAAGAAATAATATTGAATTTTAGAATAAAATATAGTATAGGATGGCTAGTAAAAAGCATACGAGAATGCTAGTGATTTAGTAAACTTATATAACAATTTATTTGTTACTTACAACTAGATGCTGTTCAATATCTTGACGTACATCGATTACTTGCCCATTTTTAATAACTGTCTTTGGAAGACGACTAAGAAATTGATTAACAGGTACTTTGGGTCCTGAAAATAGACTTTGTATATTGTTGTATGATTTATTAAATATTTATTTACGTTGATCATTAGATTCTATTTTTACTCCATGTGGAATTGGTGGTAGATGATCAATATTTTGATTAGTCTGAACGATACGACTATCATGTAAAACATAACCTTCACCATGAAATGCTTTTTGTTTACGTTCATCCGTGAAATAAGTATCACGCTTATCAGACACCTGAAGAAAATAAAAAAAGAACATGTTTATAATGACAAAAAAAACGTTTTTTTTTGTTCTATACATGAAAAGGTACTCCGTCAGGAAAACGTTTTTGTAATTCCGTTGGAAAAAATCCATCAAGTATATCATGAATAAATTGTTGAGTAGAAGGATCTAGAAATGAAAATCGAAGATACTAGAAAAGAAAGAATATCAAAGAATCTACCGGAAAATGGTCGAAAAGGTCCATTAAATAAGAAAATACCATTTGCATAAAGTATTAAACTAATCGTTTCAGTACGTTTTAATGTTGAAATATTTCGTTGATTATTAAGATTATTTGCTTCAAAATGCATTTCACTTTCACCTGCTAATACATTGAGTTCTCGAATATTTGCAAGAATACTATTATAATCAATTGGTAATATCGATGGAATGGATTCTTCTATGAAAATAAATCAATCTTTTTTTCAAAATTTTAATTAAAAAAAAATATAGTATCAACCTGGTCGCCAAGTTGACGCTCCAGATGTTGTTACTATTGGTTGTTGTTGTTGTTCAACACGATCGGCTTCATCAAAAGTTAAAATATTTACATTATCAGGTTCACTTAAACCACCAATAACTTCAAGACCACGTTCAATGAGTAGATCCTACTGAAATTAAACAAATTTAAAGCGTAAAATAAAAGTGTTCATATCTATTTTACTGACCTCCATTCGATCAATGATTGATTGTAAACGTGCACATTTTTTTTCAAGTGTTTCAATTTTAAATGATTCATCATATTGTTTCTCTAAAATAATTAATTATTATTTATTTCTCTGTTAAGTAATAATACATACGTAATGCTTTTTCATAGAGATGAGTTTTCTCTTCAAGAACAGCAATACGTTGTGTCTAAAATTACGAAATAAAGATAGTTTGTTTGTATGAAATATATATATGTATTATTACTTTATCTTTTAATTCACTTGTCAAATAACGAGCATCTGATTCAGCTTTTTGCATTCGATTCATTGTCAATTGAAGGAGATCTAAATCAGTTGGTGCTAGAAAATAACGAGAAAACGATGAGTTAGTTTAGAAAAAGAAATTAATTTTTTATTAACCACGAATTCGTGAATCATTCACAGATCTATTTGTTTTCATATTATCCATGGCAATACGTGATGTAACATCATCTAATAATTGAGCATCTTCATCTATTAAAATAAAAAACACAATCTCTATATATACCTAAATGAAATTTTATCTTGTCTTACTTGAATATCGATAATTCGTTGATCTTGCTGTTTGAGAATTAGGTAGAGCACTAAATAGATTTAGTAATAATGTATGAATATACGTAAAGTAATTATATATACTTCTCATCATAAGGAACATCATTTGGTGTGACAGTTGGATTTTTAGCAAAAGGTAATTTTCGATATCGATTCAGCGATGTATATGGTGATGACATAGTTTAAATACTTGACAAACTTCAAAAAAATTGATTAATAACAAAGAGTTTTCATTATCATGCAGTAAAAATTCATTTCCATGTAGATACCTTAATCAGAAAATATAAATACTATAAAGAATAATATCGATAGATGTCAGGTAAATTCAATAAACTATTCGCTTGTAAATGTGTTCCGAAGTTTTATTTCAAATTCACCTTGCCGATATTATTTTTTATTACTGATTCGTATTGTATTTGTATACGGCATATGTCAAGTCCTTGATGATCATTATAATCATAGACATTGAAATGTCTATATAGCACATTTCTATTATTATTCATTTAGCTAATAAAAAATATCAATTGTAGTTCAACATTTACTTAATATTTTTGTTGTTCTATTTTTTTTTTCTATTTCAACTAATCATACTCGACTATAAATAAACGAGATGATACACACACGCACACAAAAATAGTCTAACTGACATGAAAAAGAAAGGAGGATATGTGTGTAGTGTTGTCATTTGTTGTTGTATTATTCTATTCTAAGTCAGGTTCAGTGATAATTGCACCACCACCAAAACTTGACGAAGATGCACCATGTACTGACTAGAATAAAGGAAGAAAAAAATGTTAAAATATTTTTCATATAAATTATTTGTATACTTGAGCAACGCGTGGTAAACGCATAATTATCTCTTGGAATAATTCTGGTGGTAATGTTTGTTGAAATAATGACATCAAACTTTGAGGTTGACTACATACAGCAACTGCTTTTGCAAGATGATCAACACCATTATCAAGATCACCTAATATATATTAATAAGTTTTTTTTAGAATCAAAAAAATAGAATACTTACCGCGAGATAAACAATCTTCACCACGTTGAATTTGTTCGAGAAAATAACGACGCATTTCTTCTGGATTACTGGAATCAATCTAAATTATATCATTTATAGATTTTCAAAAGAAAAAAAACAGATTGAAACTCACTGTAAAATCTTCATTTGAATGAGATGTATGTTGTTTTTGTTTTTTTCGTTCTAGATTAATAATAAGAGTAAGAATATCATTACTGAATTATAATAATACTAACTAGCTTTCAATTTTTCACGAAATTCAGGAGCATTTCGTCGTTTTTGATCGAAATAAATACAGTAACCAACAAATCCAACACCAAGACCAACTGCTGCCACAATAGGCCAAAATGATTTACTACTAGTCGTCATCTGAAATAAGAATATATATATATACATGTATGCTTATTTTACTGTTCATATCGATACATAAAAACGAAATTGATGACTAGATAAAGTATTGATATTGAGTTTCGTTCTTCATCATGATTTCTATTACATAATATTCATATCTTCTCTTCAAATCAATTTCAAGTATTGCTCAATACGTACATCATTTCATGCATTGAAATGCATGACATATGTTTAGTAAGAGAGACTCTTGTTCAATTTTAATATTAAAAGAATAATATTTATTATTGATGAATTTCATTTTATCAGTCTATTATCTTTACAATTCTGTATTTTTTTTTATCGAAATATCTAATCTAACATAACTCAATGTCATATGTAATGAAAATGGTTTTATTATTTGTATATAGGAATAAATCTCATAAATAAAACAAATAAAAACATGCTTTTTGTATATTTTCATATGTAATTATTGTACAAAAAAAAATATATCACAATAAAATATGTGCTCGTTTAAGAATTGCATATAAGACACGGGTGAACAGAAGATTTTTTATTTGACAATATCACATAGAATAATGAGATCAATATGGAGTCGGTGATTCAAAACATTAATGCTTTTGGATTCATAAAACTAAAATTTGGTAATGTATCCATAACAGGTTTTGTATCATCATTTAATACTGTTGTTGAGCCAGGAAATAAATCTACTGTTTTAATTGATGTTGACTGTCGATGAAGAATAGGACTATCATTTCGATAGACTACTGTTGAAGATGATGATGGTGATGTTTGTATTGGTGGGATATAATAATCAAGATCGAGGGTTTTGTTTATATCATAAACTTAGAAAAGAAATAATTGTAAACATTTGTATTCAAAACAAAAAAATATGAAATTACATGCGAGCAGCTACATACACCTAACTTACCAGATTTCTCAGTCTTACTGATATTTGATGAACTAGGATTATCTATATATATATATATATATGAATAATTGAATATCTGTGATTTTTTTTCTGTCTAAGTTTTGCGACAAAAAATAATATTGAAATCTTACCAGTAAGTGGGTTTTCTAAACCACTTTTTTTCCAATCGAATTGTGGAGTTATAGGTTGCGACGATAACTATTTCGAAATCTAGATATAATTAATTACATGAATTAACATTATATTACTGTAGGTTCATTTGAGCTTGTGGTTTGAGCATTGGAGGAGGAAATTTCTGGAGTTGATAAATTAGTTTTAATCTAGAAAATTATTTTTTATATTATTTTATAATTATTATTTGATACATACAGGAAATCGTTCGCGAACATCTAATCCTTGATGAAAAAACTGTTCTATATTTGATTTACGCCATTGATATTTAATTCCCAATGGATCATTTGATACATTTGATAATACATTCCATAAATTTAAACTAGGTTGAAAACATGATGTTTGTTTTATTTGATCATTACATGTTTTAAAATTGGGTAATTCAAACGGAATAAAACTAGTATTATCTGTACATAATATTGAAGATTCTAATGGAAAACAAGTTGATATTAGAGATTCAATTTCTTCCATATTTAAAAAATTCTAAAAAAAATGGAAAATGATGTAAATTTTGCAAAATTTTATATAAATAAACGTACTAATGAAAAAGAAGATGTTTGATATTTTGGAGATTCTTTTACTTCACCATAATCAGCAAAAACATCATCATCATCTGTATTGATTCTATTGCTCGGTATGTCTATAGATTGATCAGTAGACGGCATTGCACTTGTTTTGAAATCTGCCCATTCATCGTTGGATCCTATATTAACATTATTTTCAAATGTACCAAAATTTGCCCATCCATGATCATCTGTAGTTTGATTAGTAGAAATATCACCAGTACTACTATTAGATGCGTCTATTGAAGTCATTGATGTCAGATTATTTTCGACGATATCATCGTCAGATGTTAGAATTTCGTTAGCCGAATAGAAACTACTAGTCCGACTCATAACATCTAGATATAGATAGAATCAATTTTTTTCGATAATCGATATATAATTAACCCTTTTAGTCCCCCCATAGTATAAAAAAGCAGCACATGTTTTATAATTATTTTTCATGATAAAATTTATAAAAATAAGTACAGAATCTCGTAACAACAAGAGATAATTTCTCGAATCCACAAAGGAAAGACTTTGAAAAAATACCGTGATTTTATCGGAATTTTTTTCTTTGCGTAGTCTCATATCCCCTTCAAAGAAAGTATATAAAGTGGCATTTGTGATCAGCCTATATTTACAAAGACTAGTATGCAATCGAAACGAAGTACTAGACTCCTCCCTAGTTTACTCAACAAATACAATTAATCTTGAAAACGGATGGAAATGGATTTTAATCAAGAAAGTATAACAAACAACGCATCTATCGATGAGAAATATGATTTTTATGATGAAGATAGCATGCGAGAATACGTCGGTTATTAATGGTATGTGCTTCTGTAACTAAAATAAACTATTTGAATTCAATTTAGTAAAAATAGTGAGGATCTGAAAAAGTTAAGGAAACGAACGGATTGTATGAAAAGATTTTGACATTTACACACATACTTAGTACCTTTATTAATATCAATTAGACTTACTATTTACGAGTAAAATCTTAAAATGTATATTCTTTACTCCAGATGTGATCCCCTGAATCAGATTTAGAGTAAAATCGTTTAAATTTTTTCTACATATTGATCATCGGATAACATTGAAAATTTTTCATCATCTACAAAGAAATAAGAAGAAGTTTTTCTTTATTAATCAGACATTGCTTATAAATCTTATTTTTAATAAAATTGTCAAGGGAATAGTTAAATAAGACATCAATCATATTTTTCATACGAGCTATTAGTGATGAAGTAAAAATCAACATATAGGATATTTTGAAGCCAACCATAATTAGAGTTATACAAAAATAAAAATACCTCAATCATAACGGCGCTGATAGTTATTAGATTAATGTTTAATACCGACATCTCAAGGAAGAAATTTTTTTTTAAATGATTAAATTTTTAGTTCATTTACAGAAAAACCGAGTCATATTAACATTAAATTTTATTAATCTCACTTATAAACAAACGTACTTCTACTTTTTAGGATTCTATAGTAAGAAATATCTATCGGGTTTCTTTATTAAATGTCATGTAAGCATTTTTATTCTATATATCGTACTTTTATGATCGAATCAACCTTGAATATGTAGCTGCTAGATTCAATTATTATTTTTAATGTAGTGTTCCAAGTAAATCTCGAGTTTATTTATGCATGACAGTCATCTTCAACTCGTTATATTATTATGAAAACAATTCAATAGAAATTCCGCATAAATTTAAGTTGAACAACACAATTTCCGAGTAATTTATAATAAAATACATTTTTCCAAAAAATAATTACAAATTCAAAGACAAAAAAATATATTTAATCAGTTGTAGTAGTTTTACTTTTTTTATATATGCATCGAATCATTTCAAGAATAATTATCTTACCATAAACAAACTGTGTATATATATATATTCTTTTTACTAGACATTAATAATATTATATTAGATAGGTTTGTCTTGAAAATGTCTTAATCATGAGATTATAATCTAATTCATCAATTGTCAGATGTTAGTATTATAAATAAAAGAATAGGTTGATTATTTTGTTTTTTCTTATTGATATTTAATTATAAAATATAAGCGATAAATAGTTTTCTTTTTGGGTAAATTATATATTTCAGAATAATAAGAAAAACGCAAAGCAATACATATGTCACGCCTTCAAAACTCATATAATATTTAAGAATATGATCAATTAATATTAGAGTTTATGCTAGTTTTTATTAATATATATATATATATATACAGAAGGCAGTCGATAAGAGTTCTTTATTATATTTTGATCGATGTATTAGAAAAAATAATATTTATTTTTGATAACGAAGAGTCAATATTAATCAACGATTTTTTTTTGTTAAGTAAGATTAGTCATGAATGTTTTTCGGAAAGTTATAAGTTTTCTAACTTGTAATTATAGGATTTCTGTAATATTGTTTATTTCAATTGAATTCAAATAGATACTATAACTATGAAGTCTTAGACGGTTAGATGAGTTTTAATTTACCATTCTTTGTATAATCATTTGAATAGGCGTGTTGTTTTCTTGTATACATAAGGCTACTTTACTTGATTACAATTTCCTTTTATGTCATCAACATAACAAAAAAAAGATCATCTTTTGAAAAAGAAAAGAAAATAAGAGAAAGAGAGAGAGAGAGAGAACAATTACAAAAGGTGTTTTTCTACTTAAAATACGTGACATTTGTTGAGATTCGGAAAAATAAAAAGTAAGTAAAAATTTTTCTCTTATGTTAACACTATATAATCAGAAAATATTTTATCCACTACGGGCCACTTTTTTTTCAGATAAACTTATGTCAGAAAAAAATAAAGAAATTTGTTTTCAATAGAACTGTCATTTACTAATTAAAAGAAATATTTAGATGAGAAAATAGCTATGCGAGAATAACACTTATGGTGAGTATAAAACAGAAGAATTATCTATTATTAAATAATTATTTCACTCAACAATATTAGTTAGACAGCACATATATATATAACCTGTAGGTGTTAGTTTTCTTTTGTAAATATAAGCTGATATATTTCTCTAAGTATATTTGAAGGTTTGTTGAATTTAATATTTCTTGTTCAATTTCTTATAGATCTATACTTAAAAGCATATTTTTCTAAATCATATTAGAATGGCATCTCCAATGTATTCTTTCTTCGTTTATACTATCACATTGGGTAATATTATACATATTTTTTTATTTAAATTATTATTAAAAACAAAATTCTTTTTTTTAAAGCTATTCTTACTAATAGTTTTACTAGCTCGAGTCCAGTACATTCACACATAGCCGATGCAGTTGAATACAAAATGAATAATGAACAATTTCATTCAAATAATGGCGATCAAATAGATTCATCAAAAGAAGTATTACCTGTTCACAAAGCTCCTCACAGTAAACGTGACTATCCAACAGAAGGTATCCTACTCGGTAAACGAGAATATCCAACAGAAGGTATCCTACTTGGCAAACGAGATTATCCAACAGAAGGTATTCTTCTTGGTAAACGTGAATATCCAACAGAAGGTATTTTACTTGGTAAACGAGATTATCCAACAGAAGGCATTTTACTCGGCAAACGTGAATATCCAACAGAAGGTATTCTTCTTGGTAAGCGTGAATACCCAACTGAAGGTATTCTTCTTGGAAAACGAGAATACCCAACAGAAGGTATTTTATTAGGCAAACGTGATTACCCAACTGAAGGCATTTTACTTGGTAAACGAGATTATCCAACTGAAGGTATTCTTTTAGGTAAACGAAATTTCCGGTTTTTTGCACCCAAACACTCTGGAATGGGTAATGCTGCATACAATAATTAAATATCAAATTATGCGTCTATTATCTTACATATTTATATATCAAAAAAAAGTCTCTGAATGAATTTGATCGTCATTATAAAAAAGAGAAAATAAAAAAAAAATAAAAGTTCATGACTACTCCGTTTGCTTTTTTTCTTATTCAATAAATAATAAAGAATTACATAACTAATATACAAGAAAGTAGATATTTTGTTTACATGAAGAATCTCAAATAGTTATTGATGTGTTTCTTTTATTAATTTTTTGAATAAAATGGTAACATGGAAAAGAAAAAGACAAAGACAACTATTGTTTTTACAATAGAAGAATAAAGAGAAAGACATACACATACAAATAGAAACTGAAAATATGAATTTATAGGCGCAAAGAGAATAATCGTTGATAGACGGTCTTTTTTTTGTTTTATAAATATTGTATATCATCATTTCTAAGAACCTTCTTGTCCAAATTCTTGTGTAAATTTTATCTGTAATTTAAGATCAGATTCACCAACTGTTGGTTTTTGTGTCGTTAGTGCAGCCATCATATCCGACTAAAAAACAAAATCATTATTCATTCATCAAGAAAATTTTTTTTCGAAATACTGACGATTGACACTGGTGGTTCACATAATTCTTCAGAATTCATTTGATCTAATGTTAATTCTACAGCATTTGGATCTCCTGGAGAACAGACAAGCCATAGTTCACGAGGTCCATCAGTCTTTGGATTTGGTATCTATACATAAATTATGATATATATAACAATCAGAATAGATTATAAAAAGACTGACTCGTTTAAAGTGAGTTGCTGAACCAAGCCGACGAATAGGTCTAAGTAAAGCTTCACGGCAAACGACACCTATATCAGCACCAGAATAACTATAATAAAATAGAAAAGTGATTTCATCAAGAAACAAATCGTTGAATTATACTGTTCAGATTTTTGTGCAAGTTGCATCCATTCATTGTCTCTTATTGTATGAAAAGTACTAGTGCCTAAATGAGTTTTAAACATTGCTGCACGTTCATTAATTCCTGGTAATGGAATATAAATCCGTTTTTCAAATCTAGAAAAATAGACAGTCTTTTTTTTTGAAGTGATCAATTTTTAATATGGAAAATACCGTCGTCGAATAGCTGTGTCTAATGCCCATGGAATATTTGTTGCAGCAAGAACAAGTACACCTGAATTATCGGTTCCGACACCTTGCATTTGAACAAGAAATTCCGTTTTAACACGACGTGATGATTCAGATTCCGTATCGTTACGTTGTCCACATAATGCATCAATTTCATCAATAAATACAATGCATGGTTGTCGTTCTCGAGCAACTTCAAATAAACATTTAACACCTTTTTCACTTTCACCAAGCCATTTTGATAAAAGATCAGATGAACTGACAGAGATAAATGTACTTTTACATTCCGTTGCAATTGCTTTAGCTAAATAAGATTTTCCAGTACCAGGAGGCTACAAATAAAAAGAATTGATAACAATAATAATAACTAATTAACTATAAATAATCGTACTCCATAAAGTAAAATACCAGCCCATGGTTTTCGTTTTCCTGAAAAAAATCGAAAAAGAAATAAAATAAAATAAGTGAATCAAATATGAAATACCTTGAAAAAGTTGTGGAAACTTCACTGGTAGGATAACAGCTTCTTTCAATGCATCTTTAGCTTGTTCTAAACCAATAACATCAGCAAATGAAACATTTGGATCAGTCACAATTGCTCCTATAAAAAAATAAATATATTAAACTTATTTGTGATGAAATGATACAAATTAGAAAATTTACCTTCAAATTTTTGCATCATCTTTCTTTTATCTGGATCACCATCTTCATCATCTTTATTATCTTTCGAATTTCCACCATCAGCAACTGCTTTTTTCTTTCCTGAATTACTCTTTGACATATCTCTTATTTCTTCTGCTCGTTTTAAATAACTGTTCACTTTAGCACGTATATTTTGTTTCATAGCATCATTCATTGCTCCATCTATATACATATAGAAATACAGGTTATTGAATGAAAATCTCTTTTCTTTCTCTATCCTTACATTTTACAGCATGCATAAGCCATTCAGCAGCTGTCATATAATGTTGAGCAGCAACTTCATAATTCTGTGCTTTATCTTCTGCGGTTGCTTGTTCAGCACTTTTGATACCTTTCTATGATAATAAATATTTATCTTTATAATCATTTTGTTTATTTTCAACAATTACTCACTTGAATATAATCGTTTGGACCACTAGCCATCTCTATTAAATTAATAAAAAAATAGCTAGAAAGAAAAATTAAACAAGAAATAGTTGTGTTATCTTATAAAAATTGACAAAAGAAATTAAAATTAATATGTGTCATGATATGACGACAATGATAATATCCAAAAAAAATAAACTAAAGATGTTTTTTGTTTGTTAACTTACGTCAATCAAGATCAAGCAAGAGCAAGAGGACAAGAGGTAGTATGGAATAGAATGACTCATTTTAACAGCGTCTGTCTATCTTAAATTTCATATCCAATCATCAAATAGAAAATTAGATAATATTATTCTGATGCAAAAAAACATTTTATATCTATTATGATATTTATAAAGAAATGTTAATAGTGCGAAAAATATATTTCGCATTTCATTCAGTAGATGGCAGAAGTAGTCGTTTTTCATAGCCTCTAAATATTATTTATTATTATTATTAGTCATATTTTATGATTGTAACATGGTACTTAATACTCACTAAATCAATCAAAGCTGATCCAATACTCAACTGAGTTATGAATCACTGTGGTACCTTTATTTGAGTATAACTTGTCATTTTCGAGTTAGAAAAAAATATACACAATTCTACAGCATTTGAAGCACTGATTCCTTGTTATGGAATATAAAATCATTTTTCAAATCTAGAAAATAGATATTAATTCTTTTTAAAGATAAATTTTCGATACGAGAAGTATTCTAACATCTAATACTAACAGTATATGATTTCGATTAAATTCTTATCTTATTTATCTTGTTTTGGATTTTGGATCAAAAATTTAATTTTTACACAGGCTGATATTGTGGAATCAATATTATTACGAAACAATAATATACAAAAAATAGAGAAACCATCTTGAGGGTGTGGGTGTGTTTTGTTTATCTCTTGCTCACATCGATCCCGCAGGATATATACCGTAGTATTTCTATAAATAATACTACTGAATGTAAATCCCTTTGTGAGTGATGATTGTCTCTGTAGAATGTATTTCAAATACGAAAAACTTTATAGTTTATTGGTTTTCTAAAGACTATTTTTATTAAACTATTAGTATTAGACAAAATCTATTAGGGAATAAAATCAAGTCTTAAGATATCAATTCAAATATTTCGGGAAATATTTTAGTTGTAGGCTACGATCGCAATATTTGCAGCAGTTGTATCACGAAGATAGTTCTTGTTCTGTCCCCATCCAATTTCAAATTGAACAGTATCACCCACGTTCAAATAAATTTGACGAAAGATCAACATGCCCGAATTTTGATTGATCCACAACGATCGAAGTTCAACATCATTAATGGATAAATGTACATCTGTAGTTGCATATCCATCTGGAGCACTTGGAGGTCCTGGTGAAAAGAATACACCTTCCACATCATAGAAGCCAGCTGACGGAACAGTAAAACGAATACATGCATGAGCGTTGTTAACACCAGGATGAAATACTAATTGACCAGGTTTCAAGTAGAATTCATTTAAGTGTTGCACATTTGCTTGACTATTTGAATTTATACCAACAAAGCCATTATTAACGAAGTTTTCACCACCCAGTGTAGTATTGGTAGTCCATAAAGAAAAACCCGACATCTTTGCTTCTTGAAAATCGCTGTAGATTGAATTTCCATAAACGTTACGCGCATATGATGAATATGGCTGAAAGCTTAAATGGTCAGTGGGTTGGGTGTAACCAAAAGACCAGTATGTATTTGAATTCTGAATATTACAAGAGTCATTTGGTCGATAAGATACCAATTTAGCAGCATTGACAATGATGACCAAGTTGCAGAGAAGAAGTACGAATTGATACATCTTATACTGGGGTGATTGTTGTTTATTGAATACCAAAAAACATACTACTTACATAAAAAGTATACCCTTATATATTCCAGTGTTAACGAGAGGAAGGGAAATGTAAAAATGAAAAGATCAGATAAAGTGCCAGGTAGAAGGTCGAATAAAGTGCAAGGTATATAAGAATGAAAAGATCAAATAAAGTGCCAGGTAGAAGGTCGGGTAAAGTGCAAGGGATGTGAGAATGAAAAGATCAGATAAAGTGCACGGGAGAATATGAGCGGAAAGAGTGATAAGGTCGTTACACTTATGTGTGGACATGTTTTCTCTCCTCTTTTTCTTCTTTTCTTTCTCGCGTTTATGTATGTAACATAAACATGCTACCGCTTACATCACTATCTTCTTAGTACAATTATTTTTATTTTCTCTTCACGCTTCTTTATTTTTCTTTATTTTGATACTGCTTAAACTGATACAGAACACTTTAAAGTAGTGATAACTTGACAACCGGATACAGGAATAATAAAATCTATATCAGAAAAAAAGAAAGAGTGATAAGGGTAGATAGAGACAAAGTACAACACACAATCGGGAATGGGTGTGGGTGTGGATATTAAGGCTTACGATAAACAGAATACTCACACCCTCGCCTACATTCACATCTATCAAAAAGAAGATCCCAATCGACTCGAATCACAATGTAATTTCTCCTAACAATAAGAGTGTTGATCTAGACAGTTCTACGTGCTTCTTTAACACATCATATTTGTACTAACTCTACTGACAAAAAAGGTTTATATTTTGACATAAAAGATAGTCTTTAAGGCCCCCTACCACTCAAAACCTTTTCCCAGGATTAGCCCGTGCGAATCGCATGAAATTTTCAGGATATGTCGGGCTTGTGGTGGAGACGCTGTCGTAAAAGTTTCAGCCCGTTCCCATGACGCTTTGCAGAGATATGGAGCAACCAAGAGCCAAAAATAGTTGATTTGGCATCCAAGATTTCGGTCTCAAGAAGCGTCCAAAATTTAAAAAAAATTTTTTGTTTGAAAGAGCATGTCAAGACGCAGTGTATGACGAGGTTTGTTTTTGTAAATACTTACTTTTTTTAGCGACGAAAAGGAATCACAACTTCAGTGACTCAAAAACTCTTAAAAAACGGGTGTGCAATCATATACGTGTCTGTATATAAAATAAAAGCAAAGCTTATTTTAAAAAAATGACTTCGTCATGCACTGCGCCTTGACATGCTCTTTCAAACAAAACAAAAAATTTCAAATATTGGACGCTTCTTGACCACGAAGTTTTGGATGCGCGTTGGAAACAGTGTTAACTGATAAAAAGCTAAAAATATTTTAGGTTTTCTATGAAAAAAGCCTATTTTTCAAGCAAAACATGGCCTATATCATCAAAAAAACAGGGGTAGCAAATAAAAACCATCGTGTTTCTGAAAGAGCAAACTTCGGGCTATCTTCCTATGCATTTATCTCCATTTCGACTTTTTTGACGAAATCGACTTTTTTTTCGAGTAGGGGGAAGGCCTTAATCAAATCAATACTAACAATAGCTTCGTTCTCATTTTTAGTTGATAAAAGAAAGAATATTAAATGAAAATTGGAATTTAGAATTTCTATCCGTTATCTGTATCCACATGTTGCTTTCTAATTGCAAATTTTACTTTCTCTTTCTCTCAGTTATAACCATTAGTTTATCTTTAAAACATCATCGCCACTATTCATCTATATTATATATGCTTGTAATAAAACACCTGCGGCAGATTTTTAGAAAGATAAAAAACGAAAAAAAAAACAAACGATGATGAAACAGATTTAAACGCGATGTATTCTTAACTACATCACAACGTGCCATCAGCTTATCAAGTTGATTTGTGGCAAACAGGCGGCCAACATTGAATTCTGATATTTTTATGATTACAAACTTTCGAAGCTTTATTTGGTTTATTATTAAGATAGGTTAAAGAAAACTATATGAAAAACTATTTTAAAATGTTTATAATAGGAGAGAACTGAACAGATTACAGGTTGTGAAAATATTGCAGTTTGCAATTCTTTATTCTTGTGCATGATCCACAAATAATAATGATCGACGTGTATGCTGCGAGGACTGGCTGGCTCGATCGTCGTCATCCACCACATAATATTCTCTATTCGATTCGACACTGTTGGAATTCGTGTAATAGTTTCCTAGTTGAACACCCGAAGAGTATCGAACGTCCGCAGCCCCGTTGATGGTGTCTGGATGACGAACTATACATGGTGGGACCTCGATCGATTGGCAGCAGGATTCTGATTGAATAGATCCACTTCGTCTAATGTCGTAACATGGACCACAGTTTCGTTCAAAATAACACCACTTTGCAAATTCAAACGGCGTTTCGACTTGTACTGATCGAGCACGGAGTTTTCTAATAAACATCTCACCGTATTCTATCTCGGCATAACCTGCTCGTAATCGCTGAAAGTTGCTTTGTAAATCAGCTAAAAACTGCGTCCAATATTCCAAATGCCGTTCGTGATAATCATTCTTTCTTTCAGCTTCTTCCAATCGAGTTCGAAAGACGTCACGGCATGCGAGAAGTTGGGTTCGCCGAGCATGTCCACCGTCATGCGTCGTCCTCGATACTACTTCTCTCGCTTCGTCTGCTATTCGATTGATTTCCATAATGGATTTCTGTTGCCATTGATTGATTTCTTCGATTAGTTGTTGACCTTTACTGTCAAAGTCAAGCTGATCCACCTCCGCCCTGATTCTGTCTGCCTCATAACGAAGATCGCGTAGTTGCTTTTTCATTGGCTCTCGATGTGGTATAACATGCTGCTCACAAAACGCTTCAAAACAACCACGACATTTGTAGACACCGTTGAGGTCGCTGCATTGTTTACAACGTGGATTATGAAGCTCAATAAAAGCCGAACATCGACTGTTAACCGTTGGTTTTGCCATGAAGAAATGAAAGTGAGGGATGAGTTAAAGAAAAGAGTTTCAGCTAATGGTATATATAGTCACCTAAGGCGATATCTTTTGGTGAAAAAGCCTACAGTTGATAAGAATCTCGTCGAGTTTCGATGGTATTTTCGAGAATGAGCGAGAGAGAAAGAATTATATTTCGGTGGTTTTATTATTTGATTTAAATGATAAGATAACTTGGACAAAAACCAAGTATGGAGCTGGTAAGAGTTAACCACATACAGATGCGCGGTAGTAGACCGTTAGATAACGTCGAATGTCTATTTTTGTCGTACGATAGATGGGTGAGGGTGTGGGTGTGGGTGTGGGTGTGGATGTGTGTGGGTATTTAACTCATCGTTCATCTACACGCGCAACCGCACCCACACCCTCAAGATTTATTTTCTATTCAGAACAACGAGCTCCACTGATATGAAGACATATAATCGAGTAACATAAACTCAATAAAGATATTAGTGATAATTACCATTAAATAATGTTGAAGAATAGATGAATGCACTAGACGTAAATATAAATAAACACAAAAAACGAAATAAAATTGAGAGAAATACGCATTTTTATATTTCCTCGAATACAATGATCACTGATATATATATATTGTCTTTTTTCCACCTTATCAAGAAAAAGCAATCAACCAAATGAAATAGTCTATGCGCATATATTCATTCTAAACCAAAACAAAAGAAAAAACTACTGAAACATGTGGCAAGCATACGTTCTTATCTTTCCTACATGGCAATATTTGCTAATGGGTAGGTTGTGTTCTTTATCTTTACGAAAAATAAACTAGCGATGTCTTTTTCTCGTCGTGTCTGTGTCTCGAAATGTAGAAGATATATTATGTTTATTTTAATTTAAAAAAATAAAGTAAAATCGATTAATATAAAATATATGAAGTTGTTTAAGTTTTTGAAACTTCCGATTACCATAAATTTAAGAAAAAATAAGTAAATTGAATTCAATATTGTTTATCTTGAGGGTGGGTGTCGATGCATATATGATAATACTAATAGAATATCGTATTTTATAAGTGTAAATTGCTCAAAAACAATTATTCATTGCATTAAAAATGACATATTCTTTTTTTTACATAGAGAAATACCCAAAAAATAAGAAAAAAAAATAACATTTCTGATGATATAACGGACATTCTTTTTGATGTTTTTGGTTTTCATTGATTAAAATAAAAATGTGCACTTTAATTAGTAAAAATGAAATATATCAAAAATAATGTTAGTTTCCTCTACTTTTTTTTTCTTATTCTCTGAGTAGAATACAATAATGTTTTACTTTTTTCTAAAAGACTTTTTCTGCTTGACTATTTACCATGTGACTAAACTTCTTTTTAAAGTTTAGACCATTTTTTTATAGTAAATCTTGGTTTTTACGACATTTAATTCAATCATTACATATTTATTGCTTATAAACAGTGATGGCGTCTATATGGAATGTTCAATGGTTGTGTTTACATTTTATAGTCTGGCAATGTAATATAAACTACGTAAAAACAATGTGGCCATCATTAAATTCGTCTACTATACAATTATTAGGCTTATTTTCCGATGCAATAAATACATCCGAACCAACAACAGTTTCTGTTCATTCGCGAGCTATGTTCAAAGCAGCAATAATTCTTTCTCAACGGTATAATATAACAATTGATGGTAAATACATCGAATGGCAAACAATACAAACTGGTGGCGATTTAATGAATAGTCTTAGCAGTACTTGTCGAATATTACCAAATTCAAGTATTGTTGGTATTGTAGGTCCTTCCTTTTCGAGAGAAGCTGAGATGATTGCTACAT